TGGGAAGGAATATCAAACGGGCTCTCAACCCTCAACAGCATATGTGCCACTCTGCAATCCAACCTTTGGGTTGTTTGCTCTAGAATTTTCACTAGCTTGCCCCATCTCGATGCCATACTTGTAAAGAATGAAACCGACCAGAAGTTTAATGGAACACCAATCACGGATATTGCACAATAAGATAATGGAACACACCCATCTTCCGTAACAGGCTCCAGCATTTCGAACCAGAAGGATAGAGCCTCCCACTTATCTTTCATCGCTGCCTCTTTCTCCTCCACTGTCTGGAAAAATAACAAACATGCATTTTTTGCATAACCCCACCTTACCACCTTGACATTGAAGCCCTCGTTCCATAATTCCTTCTGTACAAAATCAACTTCAAAAGTTGCCTTGCAAATGCCTGTTAAAGACGATCTCAGCCATAGCCTTTCCTCCATTGGAATAAAAACTTCCAAAGGTTTTTTCGCGTCCCTCTTAACCCCCACTACTATATCCTTGTATGTCCTACCGTCATGAAACTTGTTCAACATTTCCTTCTTCACTACATCTCAACTGGAGATATGGATCTTCTCCCTTTCGAATCCTCTGCTACAGCATCTATGTACCCTTCCACGCTATCACACTTCATACTCCTCGTAGCACTATTCTTCTGATATTTCGCAATCGTCATTGATATTCTCCTCCCATCGAACATGGCGTTATTCATCCTTTCCTTAGCATTAATCAGATCCTCCTTGCTTGCAAAATGCACAAAAGCAAACATATTTTCCTTGTATTTAGGTCTGTTATTAACAAACGGAATTAACACCTTAATAACCTTGCCATGATAACTAAAACTTTGCCATAAAGCACTTCTATGCACCCTCCTACTGAGATTATCGACGAATACTGCCCACGTTTCTTTTCCAAGAATCACTCTACCCTTGCCTGAAGAACCATTACCTTTCGACTCCTCTCTCTCTCTCTCTAACTCTCTCACTCATCTTTGTTCTCTGTCTTAAATACATAATATGAATTATTATCATATCAAAATTTGTATAAATATATAATATCTTAAACACAATTTTGACAAGTGAAAATACATATATATGATGAGAATACAACAATTGCCAAGTCTACATATACACAAAAACACATACATAGATGTATGTACTTCTGAATGTATATTTGGAATCAATAAAAGAATAGAAGAATGATTGCCCTAGATCAACAAGAACTCAATCAAGTTTGCACAAATTCTTACCCTCTGAACAAGCCTCAAAGCTGCAATCCATAAACCTAGAAATGTATCGTGCCATGTTGTACCATTGACTGCCTGTAAAGCCTTTACTAAACCTGCAAGGTTAACCCTGCCTTAGTAACATTATTGAAGTACTAGAATATTTTCTGCTTCAAGTGATACAATGTATTGAGCATTTGAAGACAAGTTTTAACTAGTACCAGTAAGCGTTTCAGTAGCACCAGTTGCAGCCACCTTTGATCCATCCATAGCATCCTCAGATCAATAGGAAGCCAAAGTGCAGAAGAACTAGTTCCGTGACACTGACCAGATGAAGATGCTAGAGACCGCCTGCCCATGACAGCATGAAACTCTTGTCATGATATTGTTTTACATTCTCTAGATAGAACTTCATGTGTATCAGATGTCAACTGCAGAAGCGTCTCTGGTGGTATTATATGTTTTGAATTTCGCAATGACATTGACTTTGCTGCAAGAACTCTTAATTGCTGAATGAAAGCTTCCCAATGTGATGGCCTAAGAAGAGTAATGGAATCTAAGTGTTAGTCACATCACATCTTACTCAATCAACTCAAATCATTGTCAGGACCCCACCCAAGTTCAGTAAATCAAATTCTTCATTAAATTTTGACATTACATAAAGTGAAAAGGAGTCAAATGAATTGATGGTAATTTCTCATTTGTCTCTTAGTCATAGGATGTAACTAGCACCGTAAACCCTCCACAGAAAAAAAAATTAATAGCAGATAAAGGTCTTACATGTTTTTCCATGCCAAGAAAAGAATCCTTGAAATCACTTTATTCTGCAGAAACTCCCCAATTATCTCAATAGCTATCGTACTATTTCCCTTATACAGCACATCACGGTGTTCATTTCTCATCTTATTACAGTTATCAGCAGTATCTATGTCCATGTTTTGAGTTACAGTAGGCCATATTGATTTCTTTTCTGGTATAAGTTCCAGTAATCCTTCATCTTCTAGAGACGCATCAAGCAGTTGCAATACAATTAAAAAAACAAATTCAACTAGAAGCAGACCAGGTTCACACACTTGAATGCCAAATATCAGGGAAAGATGTAGAACATCATCTATTGATTTCATAATCCTGTAATTTCAACATAAACTTGCATTAATACATATTGCAGCAACTTAGCATAGTGTCTGTAAAAGGATATGAAGCATAGGAAAAAGTAGAGAAGTTTATACAATCAGATCAAACCATTTTCATAAAATAGAGGCTGGCATGAATTTAGCTAATAATATTTCTTAAAAGAGGGGAAAATATTGCCAAATATCTCTAACTAATCTTGGGTTTTATTCTAACTAATAAAGAGGTCAACATGAATGGCAATTCATAAACAAGCCATACTTCTACAGAAACAAAAGAGGGGGTGAAACCGAAGCTTACATGTGATAATTTGGCCCGTTGATTTGACATTTAACTGAAAAAGTATGTCTCCTAAGGAGTTCCATGTAAAGACGATATGCTGTAGGATGAAACTTACGATTTGGAATGACCCTGTCGTAGAACCAAATGTCAGTATCAGTAAAAGAAATAACATATAAATAGGCACCTTCCCACAAAATCATGACCTCACCGGCTAGCCATTGCTAAGCAATATTTGCGGGTGGAAGACTTACAGATAGATGTTTTGTCCAAAAACTGAAATATAGCTATTTAATGACTGCAGTGTAACATAAAATTCTAATTGAACAGAAAATTTATTCAGAACCAAGATAATAAGAATAACAACAGCGACAACAACAAATCCCCAATATTGTCAGATACCCTCGAACTTTTGGTCACTCACAAGCAAATGGACATTAAAAGTAAAACGTTTAGACTGCTAATAGCCATTAAAGAAAGAAAAACAGAATCAAATAATACATTTAATTATTTAACCTTTGACGAGGAAACATGGTAGCTTGTTTATTTTCCTAAAACATCAGCCTTTATAATTTTGTTGCTTTAATTAAATAATGCCATAAAACAGAGAGAAGGATTGAAATGAAAGCAGTTGTGATAAATAGGTCCTTTCAATGATGAACACAAATCCGCCATAAAACCCGAACTTGGCCATGCCCCCGGCACCACCATCCACTTCACCATGTATGCATGCATAGCTGTAATCATCTTTTACGCCAGAAACGGAATTTAAAACAATCATAATAGACAACCGTTGTCACTGATTCCTACATGAGAAAAGTGTCCACAGAATCTACAGCATCCTTTAGTCATATGAACTGCGGAGTCTTAATGTGTTTAAAAGTAAATTGAAGTAAGGCCTACGAATGGTTGATGCTATCAACTTAAAAGCGCAACTCAGCTCAAGAACCAAACCAGAATACAAGTCACCAATTTAAAATCAAATAAAAATGCCCATTAAAATAACAAAAAACAAGCAATAGTCGCAAATATCATCCACAGTAACCAACGCAAATACAAGCTCCATGCCCTTAAGCAAAGCTTCGGTTTTGAGTGTTCTGAAAGAGTTTCCCAGGCAAGCTATCATATACGTACGTATGTATTCTGAAACAAGCTTAAAGAAGAAAGGAAAACAACCTTATAGAGAGAAGGGCGAGAACGAGCATAGGAGGAGCAAGATTGGCAGTCAAGGCCTTCTCCAGGAACTTCCACGTGATGGGCAAGTGATTATCGCAGCATATATGGGAGACAAGAAGGTGAGCCAGGTCGATCGAAGGCAATGAAACCCCAGCTGAGTTAAGCCTATAACTCAGTTGAACCGCCCAAAGAAGCGGGTCACTGTTCTTCTCCTGAGCCGATTTAGTCTGCTCCAGAACCGATTCCCATACCGGTCCCTCCGCTACGGAAACCGCCATGCCAGCTGCCGTCGCCGCAAGTTGGAGGTCAGGAGTTTGATTTTACTAGTCTTTAAAGTGGAGTTAATCGAGTAGAGAGAAAGTTGAGTCACGGAATCTCCGTCGTTGTCCCTTTAAACCATGGCAGCAATACCGAACTATGGGGTCACCATGATTGAAAGAAAAATTATCACTGCGTAAATCAGAAAAGTAGGCTTTTTGTAATATGATTGTGAAGCATAGAAGCAGTGTAAAGGGATTTTTTTCTCTCTTTTGATTTTGACTCCAATTACAGGGACAATCAGTCAAATTTGGGGGCTGCTTGGTTTTTCATTCATCTGCGTGTTCTACAATACAAATATCGGATTATGATTATCCATCAGACCTAATAAATTAAACTGCTGCGAATTAATAAATCTTTCGCCCAAAGACTAAACCCTGATGTAATGGATATTCTACCGCGTATGTATATATTAATATAAATTTATATATTGTCATTAAACTATGGTAAAATAGTCTTTTTAATCATTTAACTTTTAAAATATTATAAAATAAGCATTACATTTTGGATTTCATTAAAAAGAAATATTGATATTTAATTATCATTAAGGGTTAATATGACATTAAATTTTGGGTTTCGTTAAAAAAATATTGACACTTAACTATCATTAAGGGCTAATATGACATATTAAATTAATAAAAAATATCTCATTTATTCCATCAATTGTGGCTAAAATTTTGTTTTTGATATTTTTCAATAATTTTGAATAGTAATTTCAAAAAAATAGAAAAATGATTTTTAAATGTAGGGATTTTCAAATTTTATTTTTGAAATTATAAATATATTTTTTAAAATTATATTTAAAACTATTAAACAAAAGTTAAAGAATTGAATCACATTGTTCAATAAAAAAATATTTATAAAGGGAGATTCTGAACCATGGATTAAAAACAATGAAATGTACATGTAAAACCGGTAAGCACTTGCAGACTCCTCCAAATGTTCTTTTAGGACGTCAATCCTTGTAAAGCACAGACACTGATCAAAGTAATACCACCAAGTACTACAAATGTCCAAAGATATATATGCATATACATACATACATACATATATATATATATATATATATCTGGAAATACAAAGCAAATAAAACAATGGACATCAAACGAAAAACTACATTTACATCTCATAGATGCACAGAAACTCTCATAACACTGGAAAATTTTTCCTAATCCTAGAGAATTAATCTTTCCTTTTGGGGGGTTCTGAAATACGGAGACAAGGGGAACAATATTAGCTAGCGGTGGCTTACTATATTCGTTGCTTCACCCGTCTACCATTGGCGTCACTCCCATCCGGATTGACTTCATTCCCATGTCTGCATATGATCATGGAGTGCTCGTTCACTCTAGCCACATGCTCCAATAGCTCAGTCAAGACAGACGGGCAACTTTCCTTCAGGTACTCGAAACCATCTGTTTGCATTACAGCTGCAAAACACATAAAAAAATAAATGATTCAAGAAACATTGTTACAAAAACCGCAAAATATTGATATTTATCTCACATTAGAGGAACAGTGAGTGAAACAAGAGAGCTAATAATTCGATAAAACATATTGCAGGCAGAATCATTCATTCTAGAGAATAGCAAAGAGAATGTATTGGGGCACTTGCAGCCAAAATGTTATCGGTATAAGAAAATTTCCCGAAAATGCAATCTATATGTAACTTGTTCAATAAAGGTACATAAAGTAACATGGCATCACTCCTCGGTCAATGATGATTCCACTTTTAGCCAGAGCAAACTCATTCGATTAAAACTTGAGGAAATACTCTCAAAATTCCAGACCTTCATTCAATTGCAATAATCACCCTTGCATAATGCAACATGCAGAGTCCCATCACAGGCCGAAATCCAAAATGACGAATTCAATGTAGTTGCAAAGGGTGGAAAATCCAAGCATTCAACAAACAGCACAGAACTAAACGAAGACTGTTATATTTGATTGCACGAAGAATGCTAAGCAAGTGGACTACGGCATGATCAAACTACAAGAAAGCTTGAACTTCTACGTGGATATGACTGCATTTAGCAGTGGCATTTATGGCTCGTAACATTACAACATATCATATATTAAAAAAGGTAAAAACTATTTACTTTCCATCAAGCTCCAATGTCAGACTGAAAAGCAAAGCTCTGTAATAACGAGTTAAAAATGACATTTGCTATACATTAATATTGAAAATATGGTTTTAAAATTAAATGGTATGGCCAGTAATATATAAATAAGATGTTAAAAGTTCAATTTTTATCACTGAAACATTATTTAATAAAACATTAAAATCAGTTTTTGGCCAGTTTTCAGCTGGTTCATGGCCAGTTCAATAGATCTTCATGTATTCAGTGTGTTCCAGACCAGACAGGCCACCAGTTTCCAGTTGAACCGGCTGGATTGATCCAGATTTTTCTTCTGATGGGCAGTCCTTAATTTCAACAATTTCATATTAAGTAACAAAGAACATTGTGGACTGCCCTTCTGATAATTAGCATAATAAAATAAATCTTCCCTACTAAAATAATCTTTATGCCGCAACAAAATCTTGAAACAAAATTGATGTAAACACCAAAGCAAAAAGAGTTCACCTCTAAGATTTTCCGGCATTGCAACAAACTTGAGACACACAGCTTTCAGCAGGAAACAATGATGCTGCTCAGCCAATGCTAATGTAGTAGCCACAGTGTTGATGGTAACATCCTCACAAAGATTGGCCTCGCAGAGTAATCGCAGCCTATCTAGCCCATACCTATCTGCAGCGGCAAGCAGGTGCTGAGACATCAATGCGGAGGCCCACTTTGAGTTGAGACCAGTGAGCTCTTGCATATCAGGTAGAGAATCCCAGTATATAAAGTGAAGTATTGCCTGAAAAGTTAAATTTTAGGCAGAGAAATGGTATCAGTAGTCATTACTAAAGAATGCTTGCTCTAGCTTAATGAGTTAATGGTAACTTCAAATTCGGCATGATTGTCATGACTTTTGAGAAATGTAAGAAATACACATACATTGACTACCCACATGTGCGTGACATTAAGCAATTAAGGGCTCAAGACAGTAGATGCGATAATCATGACTTCAAAAACACAACCCTACCCTAATGTTTCTATTGAGAAGTTTTCACTGACTAGTTACAGGCATCAGGATTGCTATCAAAAGCAAGTTGATTTGGATCCGAGGGCAGTCCATATTATTCGTGGCAAGTTGGCAGCTTGACACCATGCATCCAACATTGGTGCATTATCAAGGATAAGAAGCATCATGAGTTTTTTTTTTCAATATAATAAGAGGGGGGATTGCACTAAACCTTGAAAACTGGAGCTTCTATATCTTCAATTTTTATTTGCTTTGTATTCTGATCCTTCATTGGTCCAAAAAGTTGTGCCCTAAACACAGGAGAACGAGCAGCAAGTACCAATTTGTGGGCAGGAAAGACTTCCCCATCAACTTCAAAGCTTACATCAGTTCCCTTTCCACTTTCTAGTAGTCTCCCAAAATGTTGACTGATGTTTGAAGGCGGAACAGCTATGGAGAAGATCTTAGGACCCTCTGTATGTGACTTAACAACACCAACACTACAGTGAACAGAGAGGCAATCGTCTTTGAGGTAGTCTGATTGTTCCAGTAAAGTTCTTTTGAAAAATCGTTTATATCCCCTGCATCAGATCAAACTAATTACTCCAGTACTCACCGATAGTTATCATATACAATGAGAAATAACAGAAACAAATAAACTATGCTTCTTTTTGTTCATTTTTCAGGGGGAAATTGGAGACAGGGTCAAACCCTGGAACTTGGTAAATGCCCCAGCATAGCAAGAAACCCATGGCCAAGTGACTAAGCCTATATTCTAATATATCATAACCAACAAATGTCTTATTAGCAGTTTTTTCCTGGTTAGTTAAGGTCGGAGTTGAACATCATAACATCAGAGGAGTACAGTAATCAAGAGCTGAATATTATAAGAGTTATTCAATCACACTAGCAATAATGTTGTTGTGTATGTCTTCTGTGAATCACTCCTTAATTGATAGTCACTGAATGCTTTATGAAGGCAGAAAAAAACCAAGCTATAGTTATATAAACAGTAGTGATTATTGACATAGAACACAGTTGAACGGAGATAGAAGCATAGCTTCAGAAAAGAACCCTTCTAGACAACAATCATACTGGAGGCATATGCAAAGCATGATATTTTTTTCTTTGCAAGGAAAAAAGAACATTGAAACAAAAAATATTAGCCTCGAGCATTCAACATTTAGTCACAGTACTCAATAAAAAGTAACTTCTACACACGTACAAAGCTGAAGAGTCTAAAGGAGCAGACACATGAATAAATAATAGACTTTTCTTTCTCCTTACTAATCCATACAACCTCTTCTCAAAATCATACACTGAATTTTAAAAATATTACATTTCTTCTTAAATGAATGCAAATAAAAGAATTTAAAAAATATTTACGGCCGTTCAGGCTATTGACAACAAATAATAAGAAAATCATATTGCATCTACATGTACCATAGAATAGCGGGGAATAACATTAAGAGAAATAACAAACTTTAGCATATATGTCTGGTGCATTATTTACAAGCCACTTCATTTGAAGCCAAAGAGTATATATCACCAGATAAAAGCTCATTACTCCAAATCTCCTAAGTTGGACAATTTGAGCATCTTCGTATTTCATAATCGTATTTAAGATATTTTATATTTATACAACTTTGAATAGTCCATAATTTACGTTGTATAGATTTTGACATACTTGCATATTGTAAAACAAGTCTTTCCCAGCATTGCAAGGTCTAATATTACCTCTATCATATCACTATTTTATGCAACAAACTTGATATTCAAAGATGCCCAAATCCCTAAGAATCAACATAAAGTTCAATCGATGAAACAAGAAAAGACCCAGAATCCAGCCCTTTAACAACATCAACTCAGCCAGCGAATTAAAATGTTAGAACACAAGAAGCACAAGAAAAAATCATCAAGTTCTTAGCAGCAATACACTTAAACCAAATTAATTGGTCCAGCAGAAGAACCACGATTAAGGCACCAAACCCCAAAATCCACCAATACATCAATCAATCCAAAGAGAAATTCGCTATTCTAGAACCCAATCAAAGGCCCAATCCCCCCACAACACAGAGAGAGAGGAAAACTCTTACCACATGCTGCCGCGATACTTAAGCGTATAAGGCCCAGTCTCAAGCGTCCTCCCGAAATGGCTATGCACCTTATGTTGTTCTTTCCCGCTTTGGTCCAAAAGTGTGAGCTCAAAAAGCGCCCTTACGTCGGTCCCCTCGCTTGCCAAAGCAATGAACAACGAAACGTAAGTGGCGTTATCTTCGGGACTTTTTCCATCGGGATAAAAATAGATAGCCCACAAAAATCCACCCACCATGAACGTGTCGGAAGCTATGTACTTTCCGCTCCCCAAACCTTTAGACAACGAATATCCCGTGATCTTGAACTGGTGAGACCCGTTCACCGTCTCTGTCACCGACGTTGAAGTCGTTGTCGCGCTGACGGAGGTGGCCGAAAAGGAGGATGGCTTCGATGTTTCCAATAGAACCTTCCCCATATGCCCTCTGATAAAATTATAATTTCCTTAAACGTGAAATTGAGGCTTTGAAAACTTTCTTCTTCTTAATTAATATTGAAAAAGAATTTTCTCGGGAAAGCGAAGGATTCTATTGGGGAAATTTGGGGTTCTTTTGATTATCTGATAACTGGAGGGTGAAATTCTAGGGTTTCGGGAGAGAGAATTGGGAGAAGTGGGAAAATGATTGAAGATGGTCTTTAATGGAGCTTTTTCCTGAATAAAATTTTTTTTTTTATTCCTCTCCTATTACGTATTTTTTAATGTTAATGTACTTAAACTGAATTTTATTTACTCCTTGAATAAATTAAATGTCCATAGTTTTATTTTTATTGTATTTTGACCATCACAGTTTTATTTTTTAGTGGGAAAACATTTTTAATGAAAACAACGATTAAAACGTTAAAATTTTAATAGCATTTGTATGACATTAGCGTGTGAAAATCTATGTGTATTGTGTAATTGAGTTTTTATTTTACTTTTTAATATTTTTAAACTTATACGAAAGAAATGAATTTATTTATATTTTAGTATTCTCTCTAAATTTTAAAATTACATCCATTGTCTTCATTGTTTTATTAATATTTTATTTTTACGCGGTCAAATTTTAAATAAAAATGTAAACTAGAATTGCATATCTCATATCTTTCAAAAAAGATATCATTTATTTATCTAAAGATAAATAATTGATTGTTGGGATAAAGAGTAAACTCAGTACTGAAATTATTATTAAAATATATTTTGTTTTAGAGGAAAAATAATATTATTATAAGGATATTTCTATATTTTCAATAAAATAATTAAAAGTGTAAATTACACCAAATACCACTAAACTTTAGGTGTTGTATCATTCTTACTACACATAATTTCTTAACTACTTATCCATAATGCAAGTATATCATTCTTACTATTCACATAAATGAAATTCAAGTCCAAAATTTCAAATTCAAGTTTCCAAAAGAAAGCATAATAAAAGCAGTTTAATTTGTGATTTTAGATCAGAAAAATGGAAAAACAATGCTGGAAAACGCAATGAACACAATTTCCCAGCTTTATATCAGTAACAATCTATGTAGTAATTCAAGAACAAAAAGATGTTTACCAACTGATTGATCCATCAATTTCTTCATTCTGCAACCTAAGAGATTGACGAGAAAACCATAAATAAATTTGAACACAGCAAAACTTCTTAGCTCATTACTTTTGACACTACACCAGCACCGACTGTTCTACCTCCTTCCCTCAAGGCAAATCTTTGTCCTTTTACATTCATGGCAAGCAACAAATTAGGACTGTTATATAAATTCGGACACCGGCATATGAGATTGTTCTTATGTTGTGTCACTGTCAGATCTTCATCAAGGTTACGAAACTGCGCCAGCGGTCAAATTGGTTAGATATGAATTTTTTACAGGATAAACTGGTTCTCCACCATTTTCCTCAAGAAAACCCGATTTTATATATTGATACCCAGACCAGAAGCAACATAGATCCTGATTCTATTCTAACGGAACTCCCGATTGATAATTTTATAAATTATCTTTGCGAAAGAAATAAGAACACCTGCAGCATACCTGCTTCAAGAGGTACAGGTGAAATCAACTCAAAAGTTGCAATAACATTGTCCCCTGGTAGAACCATCTTAACACTTTCAGGTAATTCCACTTTTCCGGTTTCATCTGCAGTCCTCAGATAAAACTGGGGACTGTAATTTGATTCAAATGCCGTGTGTCGTCCACCTTCATCTTTCGTGAGGACATATATCTCTGCCTCAAACCTCATGTATGTCTTTAAGCTTCCAGGTTTGGCAATTACCTAAGCAGTTGGAAGATATCAGATGTTTTATGATATCTTCTTTTTTGCATATCAAGCTCAACAAAACTATCTTACCATTAAATTTTTTCCCCAAAAGCTAATAGTATCATTATAAAACATGTGATTCACCTCAAATTACGGAAAACTGATAAATAGATTGAGTTACTATAATTGTCTGTTGCTACAGAAAGATGTGAAGTAGCCGGATCAGTGCCATTTACCATTCCACGCTGCACGTCCTCTCTTTTTAGGCCACGCAGAAGGAGTCCGACATTATCACCAGCCTATAAGAACATCCACACACATAAATATAGTTCGATACCATATGCAGATGAACCTTAGAAGCTCAAAGTGTCTCTACTATAATAGTTCAATTACCTGTCCTTGATCCAAGATTTTCTTGAACATCTCAACCCCAGTTACTGTAGTTTTTAAAGGGGCACCCTGCAGAAAAAAAACAAACTTTTTGGAACTAACAGTAAATGGCATTTTATTGAAAAATCAACAGCACCATTCATGGAACACCTATTAGCTGACTAGATCAGAATATGAAAAGAAAACGGACGACCTAACAGAAATGACAAGAAAAAACCTGCGTTAACCCCAAAATTTCAACTTCTTCACCAACTTTAATGGTTTAGGGTTTGTTGCAACAGTTCCTCTTCCCTTCAAGACACCAACTGATATCATCAGAGAAGTACAAGTATAAGAGAAGAAGAAAGAAATCCACGGTTCTCTACCTGAATTGAGAAAACATCTTCAATTGGCATCATGAAAGGCTTGTCAAGTTGGCGCACAGGATCAGGAATGTATTGATCTACAGCCTTCATTAGTTTCAAAATTGCAGTTTTGCCAATTTCCTCATTTGTACCCTGTAAGGCCGACAATGCTGATCCCCTAATGATAGGTATTTCATCCCCAGGGAACTTGTAGAAGCTAAGAAGCTCTATCACAAAGATACAATGATGTGAATTAGATCAAAGAAGCCACATCAATGAATAAAAAAAGGTGACAGGTTGTATAACTCAAAAAGATTAGATACCACGAAGCTCCATTTAGACAAGCTCCAGCAACTCTGGATCATCAACGGCATCGACTTTATTCAGGAATCACACAAGTGAGGGCAAACCAACCTGCAGAGTGGTACTTGCCAATAAGTAAATAACTTTCCTCTTAAAAACACAGACAAACAACCATGATAACTAAAGCTTCAAGCTGCCATTAGCAGTGATATCCACCTGGCGGGCAAGCAGAATATGTTCCTTAGTCTGTGGCATGGGTCCATCAGGAGCAGATACAACCAGAATACCACTATCCATTTGGGCAGCACCAGTGATCATATTCTGTAGAACAAGATACAGTTAACGCACTGGTCATATGGTGTTTGATGGGTAGAGTCAAGATGTGCGTTAAAAAACAAAAATGAATCAATGAATCTGTCCGATTAATATTATTAAAATGTGCCTATGTTTGTCAGATTAGATGAGACTAGAAGTAGAACTGATATTTAAAGGTGTAATAAGAGAACAAATAGAATAAAGATGTTATAGTTCCATTGACAAAGTAAAATCACATGTTCCTTGTAATAAGAGCTTCAGCACTCCTGTACAAGACATTATAAGATTTAGTGCTTCTTGCTTCATCCTCTCTTTATAACATCTCCAGCAAGGTTATACAGCAAAAGAATCCAGAAACATAATTTCATTTACCATAATAAATAGACAACTTACTTTAACATAATCAGCATGTCCAGGGCAGTCCACATGTGCATAGTGGCGTTTCATTGTCTCGTACTCCACATGAGCCTGCAAAAACAAATCAGGCATTATAGCTTGTGGTGGAAAAGATCAAAGAGAGCTAAATGCATTAAACATCTCTATTCCATAAAAACCTCTGAACAAGCAAGCCTGATGCCCTGACATGGGGAACAACAAAATTTACCAACCGTTGCAATGGTAATTCCTCTCTTTTTCTCCTTAGGGGCCTTGTCAATTTCATCAAAGGCAACAGCCTTAGCTTTCCCTTCATCAGCTAGAACCTATTCACAAAAGGCCAAACATATCATCAGTTCACTAATGTAACATCGAATTTAGAACTAATCGAAAGTGACACTGTTTGTGGAGAGAAACTAATAAGTTTACCAACAAAAGCCAACCTTTGTGATTGCTGCAGTCAGTGTGGTCTTTCCATGATCAGCATGCCCAATTGTTCCTACATTCACATGAGGCTTCCTGGAAAAGAAAATCATCATAGTAATAAGGAAAAGGATCCAAAATGAAAATCCATTTCACCTACTCGGGTATCCATGCGGTGTTTGTGTATTTTAACTGTATATTAATAATATAAATCCAACACATTAATAATTCATATAATTTAAATTTTGAAACATTTGTGTATTTAACATTCATGAGATTTTTTGTGTCATGTTTAATATTGCTTCTTTCTCATGTTTCAACACATATACCAATAAACCTCACAAAAATTCTCACCACTTCTGCCGTTGAAGCTGGTACCATAAAAGCGTAAGGAACGACCTTTTCCATTCTTAAAGCCATAATCTTTACCAACTAAACACCAAATCACTAATCAACAGGGTTAAAAGCATTAAAGATAAAAGAGACAATTTAATTAGCACATGAAAAGAAGAGAAACCAACGTGCGAGTAAAAGTAGCCATGGATCTCGACCAAGGGTTAGAATTAAGACCAACTGCCGCCTCATTTCCAATGATAAGATCAGAGACTGAGAAACGGGAAGAAGAAGGAACGGAGCCACGTGAGGACCAGTAAATTGTGGAAGAGGCTGAAAAAAGGCGCCTCGAATTAGGGCTCCGGAGGACCACGGCAGCCATTATATCTTTTTCCTCTTAGGATTTGATTCGTTATTATGTACACGGTGTAGCGCAGGCAGATAGATGATTTCCAGGGAAGGGTTTTAGCTTCCAAGTTCCAACCATTGTTCTTGAGTCGTGGGTTTAGTGAAAATGAAAAGGGTTTAATTTGGAATATAAATATGGGTAAACTTACGGAATGGCGTTTTTCTTGTCACCGAGCCAAATATTTTAAAATTAAGTCGTCAACGTTCAAAAATTGACTAGAAAGTGTAAAATTTTAATGATAAAGAAATTATTTAATTATCTAGACTCAATACCGAATTAATGAAGTATAAAGTTAAAAATATTTATAATATTTGATAAAAATAATTAATTTTTTTTTTATTATTTTTAGGAGGACTTTAATTTTAATATTTTATTTTGGGATAATATATTAAAATAATCCTTGTTTAGATGGAAATAATTAATTGATTAACGGTCAACTCTTGTTGCTAACATGACAAATCATATCTGTCTAAAGCGATAACATAACACATATAATG